TTTTTTATTTGAAATTTCCACCATCACGAATGAAAACATTCAAGGTTTTTTAGACCCCTTTATGAAGACACTCAAAAAAGTTAAGATGATGAAAGAAAACTATGTTCTAAGAGTTCTTATGATCCAAAAAGATCATTTGAAGAACATAACAATTGTTATCATTCCTCTAATGTTTACTCTATTACTTTAGTCTTACTCAACATTTAGTCCCTACGGAACGAATCAGATGAACTTTTCATATTTTCAAGTGACTTGAATTTTCCTAAAATAGTCTTGCTTACGGAACCTTGGTGTAATAAGCTCGAACCAATAAGCATTCCTGACTACACTGTAATATCTAGATACTCCAGAAACTGTTCTAAGGAGGAACTGTAATATTGATTAGGAATTCGGCTCTTGGTGAATTGACTTTCGTTCAAGTTGATAAGTTCCAAGACTTGTCTGAAGACGAATCGTTTGAGTTTTCCGTCTGCTACAGTAAAAAAAATAATCAGTACATTTTATGTATTTACCGTTCTCCTTCTGCTGATGTAGATATATTTTTCAATGACCTAAGCTATTTATTATCTGGGTTATCTGTCAACTCATCTATATTATCGACTGGTGATTTTAACATAAATTATAACAATGAGGATCCGACAGACACAGATCCACTCAAAAATTTATTTCTAACTTTTGACTGGAATATGCACATTGATTCAGATACTCGTGTTTCCCAATTCTATAGCTCTTGTATTTACTGTGTTTGTAGCAATTTTGATGTACAGAACGTATCATGCTCAGTGATACTATCAGGTTTATCAGATCACGAAGCTATTACTTGTTCTGTACGTCTTGGCTCATTAAGTACAAAACGTAAACTTAAGTTTGGGAGACTTTACAGTAGAACAAATTATAGTAGGTTTTATCAGAATTGTCTAAAGATTAACTGGGAAGGTATGCTGTCCCATAGTGAACCTTTCCTCGCATTTCACAACGCGCTATTGAATGTATTCAATAAATCATTTCCCATGCAAAAAATCAAAGTCAAAAAAAGAAAACCATGGATTACAACAGGACTGAAAATTTCTTCGAAAAATTTACGTACACTGCATAACATGACAATTTTTACTCCTACGACTTCTTCAATAACTACCGCAGAATATATAGATCCACTATTAAGAGAGCGAAGGATCCATTACGATAACCAAGTCTGTAAATCGACTAATAAAATGAAAGAAGCATGGTCTGCTATCAGTGATATTACGGGAAAATAAAAAAAACATGTGGGAATATCACTCAGTCCTGATAAAATCAATGATTATTATTGTTCGATCGCAAAAAATCTTAGTAAGAATATAGTGGTACCTTACGTTTCCTTAAAAAATCTTGAAGATGTCAGAATTGAGGATAACCTAACATTGTACGATACAAGTATTAGTGAATTACTAGAAATTTTGAGGAATATAAAGAATAAAAATGCAACTGGATATGACGGAATCTCCATAAAAATTATTCAAAATCTTCCAATTGAGGCACTGCAAACATTGGTATCTGTAATCAACACCTCTTTACACAATGGAATTTTTCCTGATTTTCTGAAAATATCTGTTGTCCTTCCATTATATAAAGGTGGAGATTCAGATGATCCCGCGAATCTTCGCCCGATCTCTCTCATTCCAACTATGGCCAAATTTATCGAAAAACTTGTGAAAATACGTCTGACAATTTTCCTAAAACACCACAATATTTTAAGTGAAAGCCAGTTTGGTTTTCAAAGCAATAAAAACACGCACGATGCCATCTTTTCGTTACTTTATGATATTTACTCCAAGTTTAATTCAGGTAGTGTAGCAGCTGCGGTCTTTTGTGATCTTTCTAAGGCGTTTGATTGCGTTGGTCATGAGATCTTGCTAAGAAAAATACGGCTGCAGAGAAATGACGTTCAAATGGTTTGAATCTTACCTTTCAGGAAGGAGTCAAATGGTAAGAACAACAGGACTTTCAGAAAAAAAAGAGGAAATTTTGTGTGGTGTTCCACAAGGATCAGTTTTGGGACCCATCTCATTCTTACTATATGTCAATGACATTGCAAATTTGAGCATTTCAGGAAATTTCACTCTTTTCGCCGATGATACGACGATATTGTGGAACAAAAAAAACTCAAATGATTCACACAATGCAATATCTACTGATATGAAAACAATCAAGGAGTGGTGTTATGCTAATTTGCTATCCTTCAATATAACTAAAACAAACATTCTATCATTTAGATGTGCTCTTGATGAGATGACATTCGGTGATAACTTAGTGATCAGGAACGAGACTCAATCTAAATTTCTAGGTATTCACATTGACAATAAGCTCAAATTCATTGAGCATATAAAACAACTTGAAAGTAAAATTTGTTCTGGATGTTATGCAGTGAGAGTAACTTTAATAAATTTGGGAATCAAAACTGCCAGAACGGTGTATCACCCCCTCATTAAATCCCACCTACGTTTTGGAATACCGTTTTGGAGAGTATGCAAGTCATCAGCACTTATGTCTGTATTAGTACTGCAGGTATATGTGTAAAATTAAACCTCGTGATTCATGCAGACACAAATTGACTGAACAAAATATTTTAACAGTGATTGAAAACGGTTTACCTCATTTACAAAAATATGTCCCTATTTGAGGCTTCATGCCACTCTTATATCACCCGTTCTACCGCGTTGAAATTGCCAATTCCTTTAACGAATTTGGTCAGGAATTCTATTTATTACAATGGGGTCAAGATGTTTAATCACTTGCCCTCAGATATAAGACAGGAAAATTTGACCAACAAAATGTTTAGAATAAAAGTAAAAACATTTCTGGCTGATAGACCCTATTATAATTTGTAAGAGTTCTATAAGGATAAATTTACGTGACAAAATGTGCATATTTGAATTCAGGTTATATAACATTTTTGTTTATATTTTTGTTTTGATATAAATGTTTGTTTGTCTGGTTCAATGGGTGTGTACTGCTGCATAATTGTTCATATCTAATCCATCTAGGGAAAATTCGATGGCAACATTTAACTTGCCCTCTAAATCTTTCTGTTAGAGAAAATCTTTTGAAATGAATAATTAAAATATGGGAAAACTTATGGATCGATAGAGACTTTGTGCCTTTTCTCCTTCCTTTGCAACTTGAACACATCGGTTTTTCATGTCCATCCAAAGTTTCCTCTCTTGTGAAGAAATCCAAGCACTGTGATAAACTCAATTGGTTAGTTCTTTCTGGTATGGGGAGTGACAAATCCCAGAAAGGATCGAAGGTTGAAGATGAGTGTCCACAATGTGTGCACTTCATCGTGGATTTTAATTGACCAACGAAATTATCTACAATCTTAGAGTTATATGTACTCAAATAAATCAGCCATGACTTATTATTCGTTTATTCGCTGTCGCTCAATTTTTCGTCAATCTCCGTTAAGGTCGGTTAAGGTTTCTCAATAATTCTATTAACGTCATCATGTAAACCTTCTAAAAGATAACGAAGGAACTCCTGGGCGTCTTGATGCGCATGACCCATGAATCGAGGGGCAAATCTCTGAATTTGACTTTTTAAGGAGACTGTGTTCACTGCTCTATCAGATGAATTTTCTGATCACAATTCCTTGATAACTTCTGCAAAAGCTTTGATTAAAACACCCTCCGAAATAGAAATATTAATATTGATATCTTTCATGTACTCATCATCATTTGGTTTCCAATCATCACTCTTCCATCACTTTTCATTTCTGAAACTAATAGACTCATACTTGAAATTTTGACTTTTATTTCTAGATGCATTGTTCAATTTTACATTTCCATTGGAACGATCAAATTGTTCATAACGAAATCAGTACATAAACTTTTCCCCTAAATTTGAAAGTATTCGATCATGTACGATTTCGTATTTATTTCACATTGAAATTATATTCAATTCCAGCTTCAAAGAGAATATGAAGTCTGTTGAAGATGTTGAAAATGATATTATGAATACATTTTTTTCGATCAACGTTATTGAAAATGAGTTAGCGCCAAGCAGTAGAAAAGCTGATGATGGTGTTCAAATTATTTCAATATACAATCCATCGAAGTTAGGTGTGAAGCTTTCATCTTCAAAATTTTTTAATGAAAACACTCTCATATTGATATTTTGAATGTACATGTCTTTATTTACTGAATATAAACTTCAACCTCATCCAACATGACAAACTTGACGTTTCATTAGGTCATTATCGTTCGACGTAAACTCTCCATTTCAATTTTTAAAAGCCTCAGAGTGTAAAGTGAGTTTCCAGTACAACATCGAGTATGGACTAGGAAATGAATTAATAAAATTGTACGAAATTATTGATCTTTCCTCAAACTGGTTTTCAACTAAATCAATAATTAGCCAATATCCGCTGAGCATGATTAGTTTTTGAATAATGTAACGGCATCAACGAAATGATATGTCCTGAAATCCGTCTGTATTTCGATCTTCCTTAATAGCCTAACATTTTACATTCCGAAACCGAGCAACCCAACATTCGCTGCCCTTTACGTCTGATCCTTTCAAGGGAATCACGCAACAGATTGGTTTGAGAGATCGTTCCGCCGCTTCGGCCGTGTAAGTATAATCCTCGGCTTCAAAGCACAAAGCACTGCTCCTTTCGATCCAATATCGAAATTCCCCTCAGCCCGAATAATTGGATCTGAAATTTTTTTACTGCATTTGAATCGAGCATTACCAATTGTCCGCTAGATTGAACGTATTCTATATCTTGAGTTACAAACGTCGATTTTTCCGAGGGAGTGACTCCGCTCAAAGTCCACGGGGCTGTAGAGTTTCTCGGAAAAAGTGGCGCTTTAAGCTTAAGGCGGGGCGCAAGTTTCTTTCGGCGATTACCGGAGACCTTCGGCTGCCCTCGTGGGGACGAAAACTCCGAAAGTCACGAGCTTGTCTCTCATGCATGGACGTCGCTGCCACCAGCATCCTACGTCAGTATGTTATCGGCTTTTCGTGCGGGCGGTCGACACTCTTGCTCGTGAATAACTCCGTAATCGGGACGATATCAAATCGTGAAATCAGGAATAAATTAAAGCATTGCATAAATCGTGAACTAAATGACACGTTTCACTAAAAAACTTTGAAAATATAAGTCAATGAACTAGGGTGTGCGTACTTGACAGTGATTCGAAAAAAACATCGCAGTTTTTCGCAACTTCGTCTGTGTCTTACCATGCAACTTTGACAACCTCTGCGGAGAAAAATGTCTTCCACTCTCATCTCCATAGTTCTGTTTTTCTTCTTCACCTCATCACGTGGAGTCGATTATTTACCGACAGACACTTCATCTCAACCTCTTCGATACGAAGCTCCTGATGACTGTCAGTGGTGGATCAGAGAACCAGCAGCAGCAGGAGGCCAGGACGAAGTAGCTCTGACCTGTAACTTACGGACTATCAACAGCGAATTCGACACGACAAACTTCAGCGTAATCCCATCGGAGCATACAACTTCCTTGAGGATAGAGTGTAATCCCGAAATAATGTCGCGAAGCAGCTTAGACGATAAGAGTTTTGTTCACCTCACGAAACTGAGAGCTTTGGAGTTGGAGCATTGCAAGCTGGGACGGTGGCCCTCGGGGACACTTCTGGGTCTACGTGACTTACGGAATCTCACAGTGAGAACGCACAACACCGTCTGGCCTGCGATGAATCTCGATTTTGCCAAAGACTGCTTTTTGCCAGTGCGACAGCTAGAAAGGCTGGATTTGAGCTGTAACAATATATGGTCCTTTCCCGAGAATGTTTTTTGTCCCCTGTTGAATTTGGTGTCGTTGAATGTGAGTGAAAATCGCCTGCAAGACGTGAGTGATTTGGGTTTTCGGGAAAAAGCCCCTGGTCTCCCGCAACCTTTGATTAGTGTAGCTGAAGATGATCATTCGCAACAAAAGAAGGAAACAGCGAAGACCTTGACGCATCCTTGCAGTTTGGACATCCAGGTACTTGACACATCCTTCAACCATTTTGTTTTGATACCTTCAAAAGGTTTCAGTGTACTTCGAAGGCTTCGCGAATTATACATTCACAATAATGAGATATCGATGGTAGCAGACAAAGCACTTGCCGGACTGAAATCTCTTCAGATATTCGATATGTCTAATAACAAAGTGGTGGCTCTTCCTTCTGAACTGTTCAAAGATACTGTGAGTACCATTCGAGAAATTTATCTGCAGAACAATTCGATTAGCGTTCTAGCGCCTGGTTTGTTCGCAAACTTGGAACAGTTATTAGCATTAGACTTATCCAAAAATCTCCTGAACAGTGCCTGGATAAACGCAGACACTTTTTCTGGCCTCATTCGTCTAGTTTCATTAAATTTGTCCTACAATCGGATCACCAAGTTGGATCCGTCCTTCTTCAGAGACTTATATACTCTACAAATTTTAAATCTAGAACACAATTCCCTGGAAACAATTCCAGCAGACACATTTGCTCCAATGAATAATTTGCATACGCTCATTATCTCCTTTAATAAAATCACGTATCTCGACGCGTATTCCCTGAACGGTCTTTATGTTCTGTCGTTATTGGCACTGGATAATAATTTACTCGAAGGAATTCACCCCGAGGCTTTCAGAAATTGTTCCAGCTTACAGGATTTGAATGTAAACGGGAATTTACTGAAATCCGTGCCACTAGCACTGAAAGATATGAGACTGATGAGAACTGTGGATTTGGGAGAGAACCTGATCGCTTCCATAGACGATCCTGGATTCAGGGGAATGAGTAATCTTTACGGTTTGAGGCTCATCGGGAACAAGATTCAAAACATCAGTAAGCGGGTGTTCGCAGACTTACCAGCGTTGCAGATTTTAAACCTTGCTAGGAATAGAATAAGTAAGGTGGAACAAGGAGCTTTCCTGCATAGCAAAAATCTCCAAGCTATCAGACTTGACGCAAATAATCTGACGGATATAAACGGCCTCTTTCCTCAGATCCAGAGTCTATTGTGGCTGAATGTGTCTGACAACCAAATCGAATGGTTCGATTATGCTCTGATTCCGCACGGCCTGCAGTGGCTGGACATGCATAAAAACAATGTAGCGGAACTTGGAAATCACTACAACTTAGACTACGAAATTCTCTTACAAACTTTAGATGCCAGCTTCAACAAACTCACCTCCATCAACTCTGCAGCCATTCCAAGTGGAATCGAGTTACTATTCGTGAACGATAATGCCATTACCAAAGTTGAGCCGCATACTTTCATGAAAAAAACTAATCTGACCAGGGTGGATCTGTATGCTAATCAAATCACGAGTATGGATCTTAACGCACTCAGATTAACCCCTGTGGATCCAGAGAAACCACTGCCAGAGTTCTACATCGGTGGAAATCCGTTTCAGTGTGACTGCACCATGGAGTGGCTTCAACGAATAAATACACTGGACCATCTGAGACAGCATCCTCGAGTCATGGATTTGGACAGCATATACTGCAAACTTTTATACAATCGAGAAATTACTTATCTGCCTTTAATAGAAGCTGACTCCTCCCAGTTTCTCTGTACTTACAAAACGCACTGTTTCGCTCTATGTCATTGTTGTGATTTCGACGCATGTGACTGTGAAATGACCTGCCCCACTAATTGCACTTGCTATCACGATCAATCCTGGTCGGCCAACGTGGTAGAATGCTCAGGAGTGGATTACACGGAAATGCCCAGTGGGATTCCCATGGACGCCACTGAGGTTTATCTGGACGGGAACAACTTTGGGGAATTATCCAGTCACGCATTCATCGGTCGGAAAAATCTGAGAGTACTCTTCGCTAATAACTCCAATATAGCAGCGATCCATAATAATACCTTCAGTGGACTGAAACGGTTAGCAATCTTACATTTGGAGAATAATCGCATCAAAGAGCTGTTGGGGTTTGAACTCACAAATCTGGAAAATTTGAAGGAGCTGTATTTACAAAGCAATTTGTTACAGTCCATTGATAACAGAACATTTCTGGAACTGAAGCAGCTGGAAGTTTTGCGCTTGGACGACAATCGATTGTATTCTTTTGAAGTCTGGCAGTTCGCTAAGAATCCGTATCTCGTCGAAATCGGACTGGCACAAAACCAATGGTCGTGCGATTGTCAATATGTTGCGAAGTTCAAATCGTGGCTGCATGTCAACCACGGAAAAGTAGTTGATGGAAGAAAGATATCGTGCATGTACAACAATGTAACCAAAGCTCTAGGACCGCACATTACAGAAGTCAATGGCACTTCCTGCGTAGAAATATTTCCTGGAAGCAATCGAGCCGTAATGGAAACCCAAGTTATGAATGATTACCTTCCCTTACTCATGGTAACGATGTGCGTTTTCATTGCCAGTGTTGTGATTGTCTGCGGGGTTTTTTATTACCGCAGGGAACTCCGGGTGTGGATTTATTCAAGATGTGGACTGAGGATGTGTTACAAAACCACAGCTTTCGAAGAGCAACAAGACAAAGACAGACTTTTCGACGCGTACGTTAGTTACAGTGTGAAGGACGAGGCTTTCGTCAGTCAAATTCTAGCACCTGGACTCGAATCCAGTGATTCAGGATACCGGCTCTGTTTACATTACAGGGACTTCAACGTATCAGCGTACGTAGCTGATACGATAATAGAAGCCGTTGAATCATCCCGTCGTACCATAATAATACTCTCCAAAAACTTTTTACAAAACGAATGGTGTAGGTTCGAATTCAAAAGCGCTTTACACGAGGTGCTCAAAGACAGGAGGCGTAGACTTATTTTTGTAGTGACCGGGGACCTGCCTCACAGAGACTTGGATCCTGACTTGCGATTATATCTGAAGACAAATATAGTGATAGAATGGGGTGACAGACAGTTCTGGCAAAAGCTTCAGTTTTCGATGCCGGACGTGAGGAGGACTTGTTCGCATCAGAGGACATCTGTCAACATCTACGCAACAGCAACTCCCTCGCATCTGGATCGAGCCCGGAGTCCGGACTTGCCGCCTCCCCCGCCTCCTGGAAAGCTGCCACCGTTCTTGCAGCATTCATCCAGTTTGCCAAGGGATACAAGGACAATGCCACATCCGTTGTGGGCGTAGCGGATGTTATTCAGCAGGTGAGCTCTTTGTTTCATGTAATATTTAGTATGTATTAACTCTGTATGAGCAATCAATAAGGTTTCAAATGAGATATGAGTTATAGTGACCATTTATTGTGGAATTCTCTTGGCGTTCAATAACAACGGCTTCATTCTAGGACTTGAAGAAATGATTCTCTTTTGATGAAATGAAAAAATGTTATAATAATAATCATTTCAAACAGATTTTTTTAAACAGATTCTGAATAATTTATACTTCTATTTGAAGAATTATCGATATGTTTTGCAAAATCTTCAAATAAAAACTGAAACACAATTAAACAGTACAGAGTGCTATTAGGTGTGAGAGGAGCCAATATTTTGACAAAATTGCAGTATTTTTTACTGAAATCTTCATATTCATTTATAATCGAATTTATATCATATCACTTACTGAACATCTGCGATTATCCTTCTCAACACAGATTACTGGACTCAAATATGATGAATTATTGAGAAAATATCATCGCCCAGGATATGCCTTATTGTATTTGAACTGTTTCATGTGGAATCATCCTAAATTCATATTTGGAGATTTGATTGCAGAAATACCTTCAAAAACATTGATACTCTTTTGTTATTATTCGATAATTTCCATCCAGATAATCATTGGAAACAAATTACATTTTGTGAATCTACTGATATATGAATTTTCAATAACTAAAAACCAATGAAAGATATTTTATTACTTAACAGCTGCTATTTAGACTCGAAAATTGATTCAGTATTTGAATTTTCAAGTTAGTAGGTACATTGTTTAGGATGCTGAAGTTATTTAGTTTAGAGGATTAGCAATAGCAATGAAGAGGCTGTGCACTGTATTGAAAACACCTCAGTTTTTAATCTCAATCAGATATTTTCCGACGTATATCCAGAAACTAATTAACAACAATGATAACAAATTTTTTTCTTCAGAAAATATGTTCATTTGTTCATATCATAGGCTTAACAATTGAAGTGGATAATTTTGAAATTTCCAAAATAACAAAACTACTTTGTCAAAAATCACTTATAATAACGAATGATGTTTGCATGTTGTTTTTTTCTCAGTACTTTATGTCAAGAAAAAAAAGGATGTAGTAGGTCCCCCTGTATACAATGATATCCACTTCAAAATTTAAGCATTGTATAAAAGATTAGAATGTTAAAAAAGTTTACGTAAATATCGATTCTATGAAGATATGAAATAGGTATTGATAAAAATAACAGTTAACAATCGAGCTTATTACCGAAAATATTTCGCATGAATTGGATGCTTTCTAAAACTCACTTGAATTGATTGAACACAGGAAAATGAGCCTTATTGAAGCAACTACTTTCATATGAACGTTTTTCCATTTAGTTTGTACTCAAAACAACTCCAAAACCAGAACTAATGTTCCAAGTACAAAATTAATTTGAAGTGTTTGTGTAAAAAGTTGTTCCAAATGAGGATTTTTTTCCTGCTTTTTTATACAAACTTATGTGCATAATATTATATATTGTGGCTATTTGTTTATTTCTTTTCATCGGCAGTCTTTAATATTTCAATTGATAAATAATGAATGGTGAGTTAATCACTATTTCATCTGAAAATCAAGTTAATTGTGATGTAATTTTAAGGAAATATTCGTTGTCGAGAAAAAACCATTGCAAACAAAGTCGTATCATATCCATCTGCATACGAACGCTCAGGTTTTAGAAATAGGGAGTTGAGACTGGCCTGAACGAATTGTTATTTTAAATGATTTGATTTATAGCCAGTCTTGAAGTATGCCCACTGACTATATGTGAAAAGTTTTCTTTCGGTATACGAGGAATTGGGCAAATTTTGGATATGCAGTTGGTTACCTCGTTCACAGGCAGATGGGGCGACGACAAACCTATTGTTTAAAAAATTGATCTCCACAATTTTTGTGGAGATCAAATCGTTGAGGTGTAGTTTTTGGAATGATACTCTGAGGGAATTTGATTTTAATTATCGGAAACCATCGACTTCATGTTAATGATATACACTACCTTGCACTGACGAGTGGCCAAACAGTCCGAAACCGGTCTGCAAGTGTGTTCCAATAATTGAAAATCTATTGCGGCAGTTGTACCGCCAACAGCATTTGCAGGAATAACTTCAGTGAAGAATCCTGCACTGACACCTGTCGGATATAATCCAACGCCCTTCGTAGTATTATCCCGGGGAGTAGTTGTTTTCTGATAGGTGTCAGTCCAATACAGTGAAGGGAGTTGAGACTGGCCTGAACGAATTGTTCTTTTAGATGATTTGAAAGATCTGGATGGCAAAAAGATTTATGGACTTCTGACAGAATCTTCCAGAATTGGCTCACTTCAAGGCGTTTATTCACCCTTCGAAGCTTGATACCAAACAATTGTTGGGCTACAGTAGGGACGAACTACGATGTCAAAAAGGCTTTCTTACAGGTCAATGTCATTTGAATGATCATATGCAGAGACTCGTCGAAAGACAGTGTGTGTCGCCTCCGTTTGTAAAATGATGAAATAGGAGAGCACATACTTTGTACCTGCCCCGCTGGGGACTAATTCAGGTTTGTAGAGTTCGGTAGAGCCGCACTCTTACCATCTGACCTGAAAAACACTCACCATACAACCTAATCGGCTTCGAAATGAAGCTGGTTTCATTTGGTCGATTGTAAATAGGTGTGAGCCACAATAAACCATTGCGGGTTGTGGTGGAGAATCGAATAAACCCACTCACTTTGGACCCAACCTAACCCAACCTATCCATTTGTCACAGAGTGTTGGATATAGGCAATCAGTCATATAATTTTACTTTTTATCACAAATTTGAATTTTTTATAAAATAGCATCTGGAAAGAAGTAATTTTCAGATGTTTTGGAGAATTTTGATGTCGTTGGAGAATTGAAAAATATATTCAATCAATTTGATTCACTTTTAAGTCAATCTGTATTTTAGTATCACTAGGGTATATTTTTCTATTTGGTTCTGGATATGACTTCAGAAATTTCCAAAGCATCAAAGTCAAATATATATATATTTCAAAACCTTCATCAATGATCTTGATTTTATCATATCGATTTCTGTATTATTGAAATAAAATCTTCAATATACATGTGAATTCAAGTGGAAATCAAACGACAAATTATTTCATGTCAACCTGTCTTTAAAAGTAATATCCGATTGTTAGTCAAAATCGTTCAGAACAAAATGAAAGGACCAAGAAATCTATGAAAATCCACAAGGTGAAAAAAAAAATATTGACTATATTCTTCTTATTTTCTATATTGTCTCAGGAGATCATTATGACTCATAATCATAGTTCTGAAGACGCTAACTCGGTAAACGAAACGCGTGTTTTCAATAGATATTCAATAAGTGTGTTATAGATTTAGCTGACACTTGACGAGATTCAAAGTCTCATAATCTACGTTTTCACCACGCTCAAAATTACCTAGTTTTCCGTCAAATTTATTTATTTCCACGGTTTCGCCACAAGTTTCTATTCATGGTTTTCGGAAGTATTCACAAATGATGTGTAATTATGTAATCATCACGCACATACCCCAATTCTTTTCTCCCTTCTCTCTCTTTGTATATACAACGCTGAAATTTCATTTGAATTTTCCAGCAAAATGGTATTCATTGAATTCCATAATATTTATTATTTATGTATGAAAACGTATTTACCAATTTTGTTCGGCGGCAAATTTATTAACGTGATTCGAAATCACTTCTATCGATGATTAAATGAAAGTAATGAAAAACAATTGAAAAAAATACAATAACGTGATTTAGTTGTATTCACTGACCCGAGTGATATAATTTGTTGGCTTTGAAATTACCTAATATCAGTCTTGATCAAATAACGACATTTTGTTTAATTTAAACAGTGCGTACTTCGGTCGTTTCTGATGGTAAAATTTTAGAATGCAGCATCTCAATAATAGTTTCGAAATTAATTTGATCCTATATTTTTCGAAACCAGGAATGATATTGAATGCTTTGTTGGTGAATTTTACACTGAAGATCAAGGTTCACTTTTTTGTTGGTTGAAGTTGAATCATTTGGATTTGATGATCGATTTTTTCAATCGTGAAGTTTTTTCAACGTGGAGCAAACAAAAACCATCGAAAGAAAGATTATGAATTAGATGAAAACTACTTGAAAATGAACCTATCTTCACGCATCAGATTGAAAAAAATTAAATTTTAGTATAATAAACACTGCATTTATCAAAACTTTTAAAGAAATAATTCTAACATAGTTTGGTTCTCATCAGAATTTCATTTGAATCAAAATGATGAGCCAGCCCAAAGAACTTTTGTACTTTTGAATTTATCATCGTTCGTATATAGTTACATGATTTCGAAGATCTGTTCCGTGTTACATTGTCTTCTACTCTTTACGAGGTCTTTTAAAAACTTGAGGTCAATGTTCGAATTAAGTGCTCAAAAACACTTCAAATGTTGACAGGGACATACGGTGATTGTACTCTGAGACAGAAAAATGTTTACAAGTGGTACAAGCTTTTCACAGAAGGTCGAGAAAATGTGAATGATGACGCTCGCCCTGGACGCCCCAGTACATCAACAACAGATGGAAATGTTGAGAAAGTGAAGAATATTGTTATGGAAAATCATCGAATTACTATAAGAGAAGTTGCTGAGGATGTCGGTATATCGGTCGGCTCATGTCATGCAATTTTTTTGTAAATGTTGGGCATGAAGCGTGTGGCAGCAAAGTTCTTCAAAAAATTGCTTAATTTTGACCAAAAAAACCGTAGCATGACGTCAACGGTGATCCCAATTTGCTTGAAAGGGTCATAACTGGTGGAGAATCATGGGTGTATGGTTATGCCATCGAAACCAAAGTCCAGTGGAAGAACCCAGGAGAACGAAGACACCATAAAAAACAGGCCAAGCTCGGTCAAATGTCAAGGTTTTGCTCACTGTTTTCCTCACTGTGCATCAGGAGTTCTTGCCACATGGTCGTACGGTCAATAATC